TATGAGACATAAATTTATAAACAGCTGAAATTTAAAAGTCAAGGGAGAAGGTACTGAAGGAAAGACACAGACAAGACTACTGCAAGATTATAAGGTGCCCCTCCTAGGGAGATAAAGAGTTTATATCTTCTAAGGAACACAGAAATACTTTATATTAAATAGTTGTTCATAAACTAAATAAGATTATATACAACAGGAACTCTCTTAAAAATGAGAAACAAACAAAAATCTCAACAACTTAGATAAAGAGACTAAAATACAAGTGGAGATGAAGAATGTTGTATTCAACCTTAACAAGGAAATAAACAAAACGATACAAAAATTAAAGAAACAAACTCTAGGAACAAGAAAAATTATACTTGCCATTTAAAAAATTAAAGAGCTGATAAATAAACATCAAGAAACCATATACTATAAAATAAAACTAATGACCTCAAAATTATTATAGAAAAGTGAACAAATACGGAATTGCGACAATGGAAAGCCAATTGAACTCATGATGAAGAAGAAGAAGAAGAAGAAGAAGGAGGAGGAGGAGGAGGAGGAGGAGGAGGAGGAGGAGGAGGAGGAGGAGGAGGAGAAGAAAAAGAAGAAACACCCCCCAAAAATATTCAGAGATAAAACAGAAGAAAACATTCTTGAGAGGGAGTAAGTTACAGCGTGGATCTCAGATCCAGGGGGCTCATTTCGTCCAGGGTGACCAGGACCAAGATCTAACCCAGCCAGGTTGTGGAAGAAGAAATTACTTGGTATTCATATAGTAAAAGAGTATCCAGCCAAGGATAAAAATATTCTCTAAGACTCAGACTTCACTACAATACCAAGAAAATAAAACATTTTCATCAAAGTGTGGGGAAAATAAAGTATAACTCAATAATTTCATACCTATTCTTTATTTAGAGGCAATGAACAGACATTGTCAAACACACAAGACCCTTTCCAAGAGAATCGTCAGGGACTAAAACCAGCCAGGCCTGAGAATTAACCAGGACTTGTTTTTCACTTTAAAAGTGAGCATTAACTTAAAATATGCTGAATGCTTCACATTATGGAAACTCTGTTGGACCATACAAGACAATACATACTGCTTTTTTTTTTTTTTACCTGCTATTTAATCAAAACATATGGAGCAATGAAAAACGTGATGCTTAATAATAATTAAATGGAACTCTGCATAAAGCAGCTAATTAGTGCCAGATGCCGGAAACATGAAGTGCTTGTCGGAATATGATCACCGCAGGTCACAGGATAACAGCTGGAAGGAGGCAGGGAGTGAACACACGGGCTTCGCCCAGGACTCAGGACGGTTTTTGCAGGAAAGTGGATCTTGGCCTGAGAGGGGTCACACATAATGCCTTCATGTTTCCCAAATTTTCCGGATTTCAATGCGGGGTGCAGGACAGAGGTGCTGACAATATCAGTTGCATTATTGTTTAAGTGATGTCTGCTTTATAATCTGCCCTGAATAAATTTTTTAATCCCTCTCTTTTCATTTAACTTCTTAATGAATATATATTTAATTTTTATATTTAAGCAGTTAAAGATTGAAAAAAATAAGTTCTTATAAATTTCTGTTTAGAATAGTGGCTTCTTCTTTAAAATAATAATAATAATAAAAGATGAGAATTTTGCCAAAAACACACATTTTTTCTCAATACTTAGAAACTGTTGTGTGAATAATTACTTTCTTCTATCCACAGGAAATCTACTTTTGAATCACTAAATTAAGAAATATCTGGAAGTTTCTGTAAAGTTATGTGCTGTCCGTTTGGATGTTTTCAACTTGTAGCGCGTTCGTTCCCACACTGGGGCAGTCCGCATCCTGGGCACGAAACGGAGCAGGGCCCATCCTCAGAGCAAGGCCGCTGGCAGATTTGCCAGCTCTTTTCCAAATTACTCATCATGTTTTGAGTTGCTGCTGGAAAAAATGTGTTGCCCATCTCCAAAATAGATGTTCTTTTTTATTTTTAAGCTTGGGAAACACTTTCAATTGGAAATAAGACAGATGGGTACAGGAAGCTAGATATTTGTCTCTCTTTAGATCATTGTCTTCTGTCAGTTACCTCATCAGAAGCATTTGTCAGATAAACAAATTAATATTTCAGCATTCATAGTTAACTACGTCCGAGGATGCATTTTTGCTTCTAGTGTAAAGAGTGCCTCTGGAACAGTAGAAAGTCAGAACCGCAGGAAGTGTGGTGGATTTTTAATAATCTAAATGGCATTTTTCTAGATTTTGTGGTAACCAGAAAATAAGGACTTTGGATAAAAGGCTCTTTCTGAGATGCTGATGGCATTGAAGACGAGAAAGGGAAGTCTAGACAGTACTCTCCTCCATTGGCAAGTGTGTGGTTGTCTGTTTTCAGTAAAATTTTCCACACTAAGGATCCTCTAAATCAAGACTCATTCTTTCTTACACTCTTAAAAGTACAGGCCAGAGTAATTTATTACAATTGTAAATTGCATAGAGTTGCCAATTTGTTTACTCAAATGCAGCTCACAGGAGTTGTGCATTTGAATAAAACTCCCAATTTGGGGTTTATAATGAGTTCTAAATGAACTTTCCACACAGACTACCAAGTCGCATCAGGCATGTAATGTAACGACTGGTTTCTGAATCTATTCGTGTTGAAGAAGCTCCATATATTTCTAACTTTCATTCCAAAGTTTCAGAAAGAAGCTACGCACTGAATTTTCTCTAAATTTTATATACTTGATACTTACAGCTTTAAAAGCTGGATTTTTCTCCCTTTTCTGTGGTTTATACTTTGTAGAAGACCTTTAAGGCTATTGGCAAGAGATTCAAAGTTGAAAAACATACCTAGCCCACTAACAAATACTAGTATTAAAGTAGCTTTCTATTATTTCAATATTTAGTTCAAATTTACTTGATTTGAATCTTCGGACCTTTCAATAAAAGTTGACATATCAATAGTTCCTGAATTAAAATTGATGTAAAAAGTTGATGCAAAGAAAAAACAGGCTAATTTCCTCATTATCAGTTTCTTCTTTGGTGATCCAATAAAAGCATATCCATCATTCAGTTTTCAAAGTTAATAGCAGTTGTCAAGTTTAAAGTATAGTTCTTCATATTTCTGAACATTGTCATAAGTCATTCGAGATAGATTTATGAAAGGACAGACTTTCCCAGAATAAAGTATAATGTGTCAAGAAGCTATTCTTTAGTTCCAGTCCAATGGGAATTTAAGAAATCACTTTGAACAGGAGTGAAAAACAGAATCACTTTTAAAAAGCCTTGTAGGTGAAAAATACATCTCAATACTCTGTGTTCTTAACAGTCTCTAATCAATGTACTCTTTATTTATGAGTTAAATATATTGAAAATTATTAACAAATTGTTCTATTTTGGGGGGAACTTGAGAAATAATATAAATCAAGTGGTCAAGGCTCATCAGCGTGAGGTTTCTCTATATAAAAATCTATAAATTAAATGTGATTTTTCCTGTTGATTTGCAAAGTTTTTATTTTATTCTTTCCCATTCACTTTTTAGTTTTATATGTCATACCATAATATGCAAATTTACATGGATATGAATTCTTATAAATACACAAAAGGGGCCTAAAAACTATAACATATTCCTCATTTTCTAGCAACATCAATGGTAAAAAGCATGACCAATTTAATAATTGTATTTTGAAAAAGCCTGAAATTTATGTTCAATTAACTGTAAGACATAATTATATTTCAAAAATATTAAAATGTGCAAAAAAATATGTTTCAGAAACTAGGAATATGTTAGCCAATGTTGGCATACAAACATTTCACCTAAATTATCAATCTTGAACTAAATTCATTTCTATAATGGTTTTGATAATTCAGTATTAGTCTCCCCATTTTATACACAAAGTATCTGAGGGTCAGGGACATAAAATAACTGACAGAGAAAGTACTGTTCATAAATACCAGAGCAAAAATTCAGATTGAGAAACCAAATTTCTATTTTCCTGCATTTTCTATTCATGTAAGAACATATTATATAATAATAAAGTTTGCTAATGTTTCAACCTATGGGAAAGAAGTCTGTAAGTTTGGACCAATATGCATCACACAGTGTCAAGCTAGTATATTAGAAAAGCTTTTGAAGTTAGATGGATTACTTATAAGTCTATATTAAATTGAATAAATTATTGAGGTATATATACCTTGTTGTATTAAAGAAACAATGTACTAAATTCATTCATTCATTTAACCATCCATCCATTTATGCATCCATATATTCATTTTCTTATAACACAATTGCCAAGATTTCTTTTATCTAAACACATGTACTGATAAGTTAAGCTACACGTTAAAAAATTCAGAAAGGTCATTAAATCAATGAATTTAAAAACAATTTATCTTCCAAGCATTTACAAATAATAACCACTTACAGCTGCAAGCAAAAGCTGTTAACTTCAATTTTGCAAAGCCAAATGAAGGATGAAATATATAAAACCACAAACTTTTCATGCCAACGAACACAGCTCCTCTCCCTTTTCCTCTTAGTGTAAGGAACGATTTATAATAACTTAAATTTTGTTGAAGCAGCATGCAGATAATAAGTATGCAGCAGCTAAAACGCCCTTAAAATGCAAGGACTCCAAGCAGCTTAAAATAAAGAAGTAAATAAAATAACATAAAATAACTTCTTAATTTAACTCATACATAACTAATTTTTAAAATATCAAACACAACTAATAATTGATTATTTTATACAAACAAGACAAAAAATGTATTATATTTTTTCCTTACGAAAAGTTAGCAGTTTATAATATTAATCATTCATATATTCTTTCAGAATTGTTAAGTAGCAAAAGTCATTACAGAATTGTTTATCAAAGTGATGAAAAGATTAGGAGCTACTTTTACAGAAGATAGTGCCTCAAGCAATATTTTAAGAGGGGTGAATAAATATATTCCTCCGGTCAGATTCTACTATGCATGAGTTATGAAGCATCGTACAAAGCCATGCTAAATGGATAGAAGGATGGCTACTTACCAACAGGGCGAGCTGTAGACATTACAATGGTGTGGTGAGAACATAAAAAGAAATTAAAAAAAAATTATCAGAATGCATGATGTGTAATGTTACATTTAAGTATGGACATTTGAGTGGTTTCTAGTCATAATTCAAGTATGAAAAGAATGTCTGAGTTTGACAAAACGAAAAGTTATAAATGCAATCCTAAGAAAATAATTATTTTGCATCCCAGGATTAACTTAACTATACGCCATTTGAGAGATTTTATGTGAAGTCATATCGCCATCACTCACTGTAGTTATCATTTCAAAGGTCTTTCAGAGTTATACAGCCTTGTGGTGCTGCAAAGTTAAGAACCTGATGAATATAACTATTCAAGTCACAGACTAGCAAATGTCATGTCAATAAAAGAAGGCCTCACTGTCTGATTTAAATAGCAATTGGATTTTAAGCATGGTTAGTCAGAACCATTACAGGACTAAGAAAAGCCCATGACGCTGCTTTTCAGCCAGTAATAAGTTAAGATCACATCACTTTTCATCCCTGGACAGGGTGGATGAAAATATAACAAATAGGTTGGAACATCCTTAGAGATTTCAACTGAGTAGCTCCCTAACTACTGTTAAGCTTTTTTTCTTATTTTGGCAGAGGGCAGGAAACAATGACTGACAAGCTGATTCTTGTTCACACAGAGAATGGCTTTCAAACTGCTGCTTAAACAAATTATTATTTCTTTATTATATTGTAACTTTCAATCACTGAAAGCTGTAGTAATAAGCTTCCCCTATTTTTAATGCACAGAAAATTTAAGAGACACACATGGGCTTAATAAGATTTTTAAAGAAATAACGCCAAATCAACGTAGATAGTACACCACTTTATATAAAAGCATGACAAGTATAGAACATATGGTTCCATTATTCCAGTGAAGAAGAAGTATATTTAGTAGCATTTAAACTTTTATGAAATCTTACATTAAAAATATACACTTATTCGACAAGTTTTTGACCATACCCTAGTGCATAAAGCTGGATGCATATAAAATGTGGTTTAGAAATGGTGGGCAGTTTTGCCCTGATGTCTCACTGGGCATGGTGACACATATGGCCATTCAAACCCTATTTCTAGGCATTCATTCTCTTGGCCAACACATCATAAACTAGCACTGTGCAATCTCTGAACAACACTAGAGTTCCTTTTCTGTGAGATCCATGGTCTTATAATATTAGTCATAATTAAAGGGGAGATTAAGACAATTCAAAGAAGAATAAAGTAATTATAGTAGCAGTGTGAAAACTCTAGCTTAGTGAAACTCCAGGGTACTCCATCGCCTCTGATGGGGTTACTATAGTAACATGAAGAGAAGTCACCCTAAGCACAACAATTTCTTTCTCTTTTGTATTTGTTGTGGGAACACATGAAAATAATGACCAAGAGCAGGACAACAGACTAACATCATAAAGGTGTGGTTTATTCTAACCGATAAGATTTCTAGTAATTCTGCCAGTGTCCGGTAGAAAAATAACTGTCTTTCATTTGTATTTTTTAGGTGCCACCTTAAGCCGAATCTCAAACTTAATGTTTCCTATTGATATAAACAAAAAGGCATTTTGTGTCTATGATATTATAGAATAAAGAAGAACCCATGCCCTGACCGGTTTGGCTCAGCGGTTAGAGTATCGGTCTGCGGTCCAGAGAGACCCGGGTTCGGTTCCCGCTAAGGGCATGTACCTCGGTTGCAGTTTGTCCCCGGCCCTGGTTGGGTCGTGCGGGTGGCAACCCCTCGGTGTGTCCCTTTCACATTGATGTTTCTCTCTCTCTGTCTCTTCTTCCCACTCTATCTGAACAAAAAATGGAAAAATGTCCTCGGGTGAGGATAAAAAACAAGAAGAAACCATAATAAGAAAGCATTTTTTAAAGAAATAAAATATTTCTTTTTCACCTAGTCTAGAGTAATTTCCAAAAAATTAAGGCTTTATTGCCCTATAAGCAAGATGTTTATTCCAACAAAGTCTTAATTTATGTAAAGCCAATTTGAGCAATTGACAAATGGGGAAAAATTGTGTTTACAAATATGCAGTTTGCGTTCATGTATTTTGAAGCCAATTAAAAAAGTTCTGTTAGAACACGAATTGTTTGATTAGAATATAAATGCTGGGAGGGTGGTTGTCTGGCATTATTTCTTTCAAATTTTATGTTAGTCAAGTCAGCATAAGGAGCTACTTGCTGTTAAGTTTAATTTTATGGCCCATTTTCACCATATTTTTGAAGTGGAAAACCAACCACCGCGTAAATCACTTTTTCAGATTTTGACTATAAAACTCTGTTTTCTTTTCCTCAATTGCCTAAAGTGAACATGATGATAAAATTTTAGCAGAAACATCACAGTAAAAGCTCTCGCCTTTGTTACATAGCAACATTTCATCCTGAAAAACAAAACAAAACAAAAAACAGCAGGTGAATGTTTTCAAAATCAGCAAATTAAACTAAACTGTGTGCTTGCATTAAATTGATGAAAATAGATGTGGCCTCTTGGGTCAGTTGACCCTGTTCTAATAAAACAAGCCAGGGAAGGGCTGAACATTTCACTTATGTACATAGAAAAATGAGGATGGAAAAAAATAAGTCGCAGATAATTTTTTTCTGTTAACCTCTTACCATGAGTAATCCCAAATGCTTTTCTTAATGACAAACATATTTTTAAGTAATATTTTACTCCACTTTCTGTTGTTACGGAGATTTTTTTTTCTGTCACCGTTTTCAGGTCATTGTTAGACGAGTAATAAGTACACACCACACAGATTAAACACTCTACTCCAGTGTCTGGACACAGATTAGGGAAGAAGACATTTAAAGTTTGCTGTTTTTTTTTAAAAAAAAATCTGATAAAAAATAAACAACTCTTTCTGTTAGCTTTGTAAGTTAGCTTCAAATGTCCATGCACAAGGAGTGTGATTTGCGAAATGAAATGTTAAACCTGAAACTTTCAACAAATCATGAAAACAATTAGCTGGGAAAGATCTTAAAGCAAACAGACCACTTCAGTGTCCTCCACCAGGCACCAAGCCTAAAGGACCCCGCCGCCTCCACAAGCAAACAACTCCCCGTGGTCTCCCCATGTGTTTAGTCAGCACATAGTTTTTGAATGGAACATTTCTTGGTTGCTTGTTTTTCTTTATTTTTTCCATTCACTTCAGAAAAAAAAACAAACAAAAAAAAACAACTTTGGGGGGAGATTTGGTCAAGCGAATTGTTTTTGCAAAGGACTGCTCAGAGAAAAGCAAATATATGTATAAATATAAAATCACCTATGGAGAATGCACATTAAACATAGTAAAGAGGCTTAAATGGGCTCAGATTTGGACCATATGTAATCAGTATGTACACTCAACTGGTATCTGATCATAGCTTCTTATGATCTGTTCTCTAATGAGGAATGAAAATGCTATTAAGCAACAAGCTTGCCAATTTTGTCTAAATTTGTTTTGTATCTCAGTTCACATCAAACGGGGGGGGGGGGGTAAAGTAGGTGGAATAGAAATGGAGCAGTTGGAAATTATAGAAATCACCAACTATTTTCCAGGTATCCAGAGTGCATATGCCTCCTAAGAGTTACCTGGAGGAAGGTGAGTTTTTTTATGATTTGATGCCCAAATTGTAGATCTGAAAAAAACAACCTTTCTTACCATGTGGAAGACAACCAACCCAAATCCCTCCGAACCCTTCTCTTAATCTTATGAAAATGTCTGGGAGCAAAGCTGCACACGAGTAGGAGGTATGACTGACTGCACCGGGTGAGCTGGGGCTCAGCCCTGGATGACAGCCGTCAGCCAGCCTGCGCATCAGTCAGGGGAGAGGAAGAAAGACCGAAAGGCTGAGCCGGGGATGCACCTGCCTGTTCCTCCGAAGTTCCAGTCAGCAACGCCACGGATACTGTCTATTTGGCGAGTGAGGGCAGCGAGCTGCCCGACTACCTGGTACCTCGGGCTACGTAATCTGCTCCTGTGGATCAACGTGCATCGCCAGGAAGAGAATTAATTCAGTCTAGCTCACTGCAGGGGTAAGCAATGCTTTCCTCCACTTACAGGAGATTCCAGGGTCTATAAACGAGCATTATTCCATGACTGAGAAAGTGCATGACACCCAGAACGTGAAAGTTATTACAGGAGAAGCACTGGGTATTTCAATTATTTAAGGCCAATGATCTTCACAAATCACTCTCTAAATCAGATTTTCTCAATGTGGGAGCTCATTTGTATCCATTTTTCACCTTTGGAAGCAGTGTCGGTTTTTTCTTCTTCCGACTGCTTTTTGAATGCTGAAATAAAAAAGGATTTCAAAGCAGTCCTCTGCAAGTGTAAAGCAAATTGAATACAGAAAAACAAAGTACTCTGGAGATTAGTGACATTTAAAACAGTAAACAGCTCAGAGAAAGGATATTTGTGTAAGTCTTATCTATTTCTAAGATTTATTTTAAAGTCACATTAGCTTTTATTTATTAAATAAAAATTAATCACTTCAAATGATCATCCCTTTGAACCCATATATGAAAATAAATAATAATACAGTGAACACAAATCTAGGCATTTCACTATGATAATAAAATAGTGTAAGCTATTATTCTGATTGTGAGTTCACGCATCAGTGTTAGTATTAGCCCGCTGGTTCGATCATATTCCACAACCCAGGTCTCTTACCTCGGACTGTGAGGGTGGCGGAGGCATCCACTTTGCCAACCCGGTTCTCGGCGATGCACGTGTAGGTGCCCTCATCGGTACCCAGTGCCTTCTTAATTCTCAGTGTGTAGTCATCTTTGACGTCATACCTGGTGGAACACAGATTGCTTTTAGTAAATAGGTTTGGTTATATTTAGATAACACATCGTTTTTCTATGGCATTTTACCTGAAACAAAACACACACACACACACAGTTCAGCCACAAAGTGCAAAGCTTAGATTAAAGGTATTGCTAATAAGATAATTAATTTCAAAAGTGATCTCCAGAAGCTTGATTATCAATTCCCTATTTTTATATATGTATACAACTCTTGCCATATCTAAATTATTAAATGCATTACTTGCACATTTTCTTTTGGTAACTCTTAGACAATAAAGAAATAGTGTATATTTGAGTTTCTTAGTGAGTTATATTCTATCATTTTATGTTACACTGGATTCAAATATACAACTTATTTTGTTATGTATCTTGAATCAAAGATAGCTGAAATATTTAAAGGAGAAATTTATTTTCTGTTGGCAAATTGACAAAATAAGCATTGGTTACAAGAATTAAGGAGGGTCAATAATTTTTATAAAAACAACATTAACTCTTAAAATGTCAACATGCTTGGAATGATTCTGGAAGTGCACACTCTCAACTCTCTCGAATGCATCCTGATTCTTTGAAGCAATACTTTCTTTCATAAAACTACATATTTCACAAGCAATTATATATTGACTATTTCCATAGGTCCTGTAAATGTGGCCTTATTTCTTGTATTTCTTTCTGGATAAATTGCCCACTAGTAATCTCATTGATGCTGTACACTGGGTATTTGGGGAAATGTTCATTTCCCCAGGGAGGAAATGTTGACTGAGTAATATGCAATATGAATAATAGTTTCTTACATTTAAAGAGTTCTTTATAGTTCACAACAGAGTTTAATAAATGATTTCACAACAATAAATGACTTAGAGATAATGCCTATTTGCAAACACCATTTTATAGAAGATGCTAAAATTGTCATTTTGAATTTCAAAGAGTTTGGAACAGCATTTGCGCAGGCAGAGAGCATTTATTTTCCTAACACAGAGCAGTGCCCCCTCCATCTGACATGTGTTTATTGTTCTGTGTCATGTGCACCGAGCAGGTATGCATTTTGGTATTTTGTGTTGAGTTTCAAAAACTCTAGAAACAAACTATATCCATATATTTCTCAATGTGAATCTAATCCTTCGGGGTTCATAATATATTTACTAAGATAGACACACTTTGAAGTTATTTTATTGAACAATCTAATATACTTAAATTTTGCCCTCATTTGCTCTTAGCCTTTTTTACCTAGTTGAGAATGAATTTTAAATAACTGGAGCATACTTTGGTAGAAAACAGCTACTTTTTAAACATGGTATAAAGTTGTATATGATAAACATGTAGGGGATATCATCTGACTTTAATTAAAAACAAGAAGAAAAAGAAACATGAAAAAACATTACTAGTGAGGAAATCCTAAGAGAAGAAAGAGGTTTTGGTTGTGGAATCTGCCAGTCTCAGACTTGTCCAAATGCAGTTGTTGTTGCCAGGTTTGATTAATGACAGTTGTACAATCGTGTGCTGACAGTCCCCACCATAAAGATACCTTTTTCCCTGATATGAAACACTGCTGAAAAATGCAACCCAATCAGATTTGGCCCCCGGACAACATGTGCTATCATCACTGTACCGTGAATTGAGATTGATTGGTAACCAGCTGTGACAAAGTGGGAAGAGACGCTCTGGTTTTGTGTTGTTTCTTTCCCAACGGGGGGAAAAAAAGGAAAAGAAAACTGAATTGTGTCAAAACCATTACCATCTGTTCAGCTAAATAATAAACAAAACAAGATAAATTTATTTTAATACTTAAAACAACAGTTTGTAGGCAAGGTTCTATTTGTGTATGATCTTACCTTTGATGAATGATCTTAAAAGTGTTTCAAAAGAGAAAATATTATTCTTTTTTTAAAAAGAAAGAGTACTATGTTTTAAGATCACTTCTAAATTTAAATGAAAGAATCTCTTTTATTTCTTCTTCCTAAAGAAACTTTTCTTTTGGAACAATTTCCTATGAATTTAAATTTACTTTGAAACCACCACACAAGATTTAAAAAATAGTAAAATGCTATAACATAAACCACATTTCATACATTTCTCTCACTTTGCAATGCCTGATGCACCTTAAGTTTCTAGGGTAGAAACTTCTCATGATTTCCGGGCTTTTGTGAATATAATGCAGATAATTTAGAGATCTCTCCCTCCAAGTCTTCTATAGTGGCTTTAGAATTTAGGAAGAGAAAAAAAGGAAAAAAATACACTACAAATTCTATTATAAAGTGGAATTTTACCATGTTCAGCTCAAGCCTGTGTATCTCATTGCCTTGTTTGGATTATTTGAGTGTTCTACACTAATAAAACTTCCTGAATGTCCATTTCATCTCAAAAGCACCTTTGTTTTTCATGGAAGGAAATTTATTTCTTCAACATTTTTAGTTTTTTTTTTTTAAATCACCTACTACTTCTTGCTAGAAGACAATGTCTGGCTCCAACTCTAGAACAAATGTTTTAACTTAGCAGTTAAAATTTTATTGCCTAGCTGCTTTATTAATCATCAAATTGGCCAATAGTAAAAACTGAATTTAACCAGGAAACATTTAATGCCTGTGCAAGCAAATGTGTCTCTCTTTTTAAAGAGATTTGAAAAGTTTGTTTTCAATTATCAAAAGACTTGCACTCAATCCAAATAGCTGAAGATCACCATATAATCACCATATACCTTTTAGACTCTTTCAGAATATAAATGTCTACAGTAATAGGCATTCCATAGTTCCATAATTCAGTAAAAATTTCACTATGGAGCTTTTATATAAAAATGTCACAATGTTTATTGCCTGCTTTAGACAGAATAATTTTTAGGATAAAGATCACTTATTAATCTTATAAAATGATCCATCTGTAATTAAAGGCACAGCCTTACACTACTGGATGTCACTGTACGAATCACAGTGGAAATGCAGACACACACATACAGGGTCAGTGATGATGCGTTTTCATTGGTCCAAAAAGTGCATTTTAACCATTTGCAACTTTGAATGAATATACTCTTCTGTAAAACATAAACTTTCTTAGAGAAATTTAAATCTTTTGCCTCTTTCAGTCTTGACAGCTCAAAATAGGAAAAGTTGCTCAATTTTCCTGAAACAATTTTTCTGCTCACAGTTTTTCAATCAAAGTCCTTCCACAGACAATACTTCTTATTAAAACTCACATAAGTGCTTCTTGGCAACTTAAACCTCAGGTGACGTTTTCTTACTCTTTAATATTTAAAGTGTATCCTAAAGGTGAGCTCTTATATCACAACTGAGGACTGGGACCTTAAAATAAGCACAACCGGCCATTAATATTTTGCTGGCAAAAGGATACTGAGTCAAGTTCACTATGTGCCACATCGAGCCTGGGTCACAGTCCTCGTTTATCTACAATCAGAATGCGGGCAATGGTCACCATTTGGATCAAGAAGTCTCTTCCTGTCCTAAGTCACAGGACTCTGGGTAGGGCCCCTAGGAGCAGGGTAAAAGGACACATAGCTCTTTACAAGCAAAAATTAATGCAACATTCACTGAAGGAAAGAGGTAACGAAAGCCTTGGGAGATAAGCCCTGTGTGGAAGTAGTAAGAGGCAAGGTGGTCTCTGAAGAGAGCCTGCGGTTCTGTTCTGGAAGCCTCTACTGAAAGCCAAAGTGAAACCTGAAATGGGATGGCATTCTGACTCTGCCTGAACAACCAAATAATACTTTCAATCCTCTTGTCTTTCCTTAAATGCTATCCTGTTACCCCAAGCCTTGCCAGCCTGCCCCATGGATGGAAGACACCCCTAGCAAGTCGCCCTTTAACACAGCTGAGAGATGGGGGGCATTTTACAACTAAAAAGCTAAGAGGAAAAAAGAAAAACAAGTGAAAAAGATGTCTTAAAACATCTACATCAGGAGCCCTGGCAGGTTTGGGTCAGTGGCTGGAGTGCCGGCCCATGGACCAAAGGGTCGCAGGTCAACTTCCCTGAGTTGCAGGTTCGATCTTCAGCCCTGGTTGGACTTGTGCAGGAGGCAACCAATCGATGTGTCTCTCTCACATTGATGTTTCTCTGTCTCTCTCTCTCTTCCCTTCCCTTCTCTAAAAATCAATGGAAAAATATCCTTGGGTGAGGATTACAAAAACAAACAAACAAATAAATATTTTAGAGAGAGAGAGAGGAAGGGAGAGGGAGAGAGAGAGAAACATCAGTGAGAGAGAACATGTATGGGCCGCCTCCTGCATGCCCCCCACTGGGGATCGGGCCCACAACCTGGGCATGTGCCCTGACCAGGAATCGAACTGACGACCTCTTGGTGCATGGGTTGACGCTCAACAACTGAGCCACACCAGCCTGGCTCAATAAATATTTTAAAAATTAGTTATTTATCCTCTCTCCTGAAAATAAAACAAAGCAAAATAAAACAGTCTTATTCCGCTGAATAGGAATCATGTCATCCAATTTTCAAATAGAAACTTCAGAATTTATTTCTCTTTAGAAAATGTAATAGGACCTATAGCATCAGACTTTCTAAAGCATTAAATAAGTTAATAATTTTAGAGTGTTCAAACTTGAACTGGCATATCATAAATACCCAATAAATGTCACACAAAATTCCCCATAACTTCCCCCACTTCAGTTATTTCTCCGTCTCCAGGGATACTGTCTCCGTCTCCCTTTGGCCATTGTCTTAGCAAGACCTGGACCGCATCCTCACCGGAATGGCTCCACCTTTGAAATCGGAATGTCAATGGTCTGATCCTACCATGAACATGGATATTTCCTACTGTCTTAATCAGTTTAGAAACTGAACCTCTTCCTCATGTCTATCAACCCCCCATCATCACTTATTTCTCTATTCTGCTTCAATTCTATGATTCGTAAGTCACTTGACTATCCTCACTTTTCCTGTCCCACTGACTTTTGTATTTGCCTGGCAAAACCCCAAGTATTATGTTACCGTCTTCTTTACATGATCAAGAGTAGACTAATAAATGTTCAAT